AAAGCTTATGCTCCAATACTTCTGTTAGTCTTAAAGGTGCCACAGGACCCTCTGTTGCTTTTTGAAGGGCCTAGAGATCTATCGGATAAGAGGTAGTTCAGCTTAGGTGTCTCTTCAGTCCTTGAGAAGACTGCCGACAATGGGTCTGATCACAAGCCCATTGGAGGGAACGGGAATCTTTCAACTAATTTCAATGGGAGCTGGATTGGGCCCTAGGAGCTTGACTCATTTCACAACTGCTGCTAAATCGCACCTGGAGAAACACGCTCCAGTGTGAAAATAAATATTTGCAACAGTGAATAACTAGGTTTTTAGAGCAAAGGACAAATAAACTTTCTATTCATACTGTACAAGACAATAGGACTTTCTTGCGCTCATTATTTATCATACCAATTTTTTCCCTTTTTAGGAGAATTTCAGCTCTTCCTAGTTAGAATTCCTGAGAATTTTTTGCTCTCCTAGCTTTCAGTCTCTCTTGTTTCTGAATTAGCATAATGATTAGGCAACAGGCTTCAGCCTGACAGGGAGAGAGGTTATTAATGAGAAAAGTGTTGAGGTGGTAATAAGGTGCAAATTACATGCAGAATAAATATCTTGCAACTGTGACTTCAGAACTCAAATCCCATCAAGAGATTCTAAGGGCATGATAAGACCTGACAGTTAAGTTTAAGTAGTTTGTGTAGGCAGCAGAATCTTGAGCCTGAGAATTCAAATTTGCCTGGTTGATCTTTCATATAATAAATGATCCACTCTTCTCCCATCTTCTATTTCTTCTTCCCTCCTGCTTCTTATCCCACCAGAAGAAGAGCCAAATGTATTGTAATCATCTTGGAGCTGATCTACAGCTTGTATAAATAAATGTAACTCCATTAATTTCAGTGCTGACTCGCACCATCAGATCTGGTCCCTTGTTCTGATTAGTTGATTTTGACAACTACCTGTAGTGTCATACTTGTGACTTATCAGAAGGTTTCTTCCCTGGGTTAAAATGTGTTTCCCACCGCAGTCCTTTTTATGTCATCATAATTACACTGCTGCTTTCGTGTTCCACTTCAGTAACTAACTACCCACTTTGCAACCCACCAATCAACAGGGCCAACCTTGTGTCAGACTCCTATTCCTAAAGTAATAATTGCACACAACTATTTGCCTTTATAGCCATCAGTGGACCAGTTCATAAAAAGCAATCTCTGGCTTTTGCAGACTGCATCGGAGTTAAGCTATTTGTAGAGGAATTACTGCAGCATAAGTCCACTTGACATCAGCCTGTTCTCTTGCCAACTACAGTAGAGGTATAAGGCACTGCTAAGTACAGAAGCCTCATTGTATGTTATTTACCCAACTTCAAATCATACTGTAATTAGGTTGGTTTTCTTTATTTTAGTACAATAAAACCATATTATAATGTTCCTAAAGTTTATAACATCAGATAGTACTCAGTTGCAACAATCATTCCATTCTGTTTTCTTCACTTACAACATCCCCAGCTATAACTTATGGCTATAAACTAGGGATGTAAATATTGTTTAAAAAGTTAACCACTTAAATGATTAAAATTCTATCGTTTAAATGGTTGACCGATTAAAAGGAGAGGGGCTGGGGTTGCTGTGGCTAGCGAGGCGGGGGCTGCGGTTGGTCGGCCGGCCACGGGTCAGCTGGCCGGCCTCCAGGGCATGGCTGGGGCTGGGGTCCGGCCAGCGGGGCTAGGATCCAATGCTGTGTGGCCAGGGCCAGGGTCTGGTGTTGCGTGGTGTGGCTGGGGGCTGGGGTGGGTCGGGGTCTGGCCGGGTCTGGGGTTGGGGTGCGATCGGGACTGGGGGCCAGGGGCCAGGGGCCGGCCGGGGGTTAATGGTTAATGTTGGTGAACCCCCGGCTGGCCCCTGAGTGGCCCTTCACTCAGTTCAAGGCTACCCTGGATTACACTGTGGTTGGCCTGTATTTGGCCTCTGGGAGTCACTTTAGCCACCTGTACTAATTGTGTTTTGTGCCTTATGTACTTTAATATATGGTTTTGCCTAGAGATGGGCTCAAACAAAAATCTCAGAGCAGAACACTCCTAACTTTCGTGAAATACAGATCCGTTTTTTTGCAGCTTGCATCACGTTATATAATGGACTGGCCCAAAATCCTCATTCTGACTGCTTCAAGTTTGTGGCTCTGCATCCAAACTTTGCATTTGGGCCTATTTTTAAAAAAAGCTTCAAATATTTGTTCAGTTTCAAAAGCAAATTTTGATTCAGCCAAATTCATGAACTACTTGACTCCTGAGGTCCCTTACAGCCCTACATTTCTGTGATCCTCTTGTCACTTCTTAGTGCCATTTGAGCACCTAAGTTTACGAGCACAAATACGCATAACAAATAAATTTAAGACTGAATGTTCTATATTCACCAAAGTGACATGTTTGAGTTTATAATTCACAATTCATGCTATGTTGGTGAGTTATCTGATTCATCTAGTCAAGGAACAGAAAGCATTTGATTTACCACATGAATTGCGTAATGACCTACCACAGACCAGTTGCAAGTTTGGGATATTCATAACTAACTGTGAATCTTCTGAAGACCAAGAATTATTCACTGAGGAAATGTGTAAATCAGGGGTTTATTGCACATTTTCAATTACCCATTTGCAATTGTAAAGATCTGTCAGTAGATAATTTGAGAGTGGGGAGAAAAAGACAAATTAGATCAAGGTGGGACAGTTCAGTCTTCAAAGAATATCAGGGTTGGAAGGGACCTCAGGAGATCATCTAGTCCAACCTGCTGCTCAAAGCAGGACCAATCCCCAGAAAGATTTTTACCCCAAATCACCCCCTCAAGGATTGAACTCACAACCCTGGGTTTAAGCAGGCCACTGCTCAAACCACTGAGCTATCCTTCCTGTTGGCTTTACCTTTGACTGAAGGATGAGGGTGGTCACAATCTGTCTCTTAATACATCTTTGATACAGCCCCTGGGCTTCTGATAAGTTGTCATTGTGGCCCCTAATTAATAAAAAGTTTTGACACTGTTGTTTTAAGTGATCCTCTTAGGTTTTAAATTTCCTTATCCAACTTTAATCTCAAGAATAATGACTGTACAAAGGCTCTGAGTTGTATTATATAAGAAATGCACTCTAGGTCAGTCATCTTTGATTTCGAGGCTGCAATCTCAATACAGAAACCCAGAAAATGTGGGTCTGCACTGAGTAACATATACTCCTCTCTCCCTTTCTCTTTCTCAGAGGGTGTTAACATTTGCCAAGCCAAGAACTATGTGTCACACTGATTGAAAAAAAAAGGTATTTTATAATGAGCTTCGCAGGAACTCAAAGGCACAGAACCCCTGGCACAGTGAAATCCCACAGCCAAAGCAGGAAACAATGCCATGGAGAAGAATTGAACACTGAAAAAAGCATGGTAAAAGCAGATGGATCAGCAGTGGTGTCCAGCCTCTGAAAAGGAATGAAAGTTGATAGATATCAGGAGGCATTGGCATTTACACAGCACTTTTCATATTCAGCGCTTACAAACCCTGAGTAATCCTGACAACGCACCCATGAGATAGACAAATAAATATGATCATCCCCACTTTACCGACAGCGAATTGAGGAAGTGAAGTTAAAATTGCCCTCCACAAACCGCAAAATGAGTCAGTCCCACAGGAGGATGTAGGCCTAGAAAACACCCGGATTCTAGTACTGTACTCTGGCCCATAGGCAGTTATACCCTTGGGATGCATGACACATACCTTTGGCATGTGGCCAAGTAGGACAATACTGACCAATCAGGACCACTTGGTTGGGTGGGCTCATTGAACAATGTGAGTTTTAATAAAGCCAGATGCAAGATCTTACATCTAGGAACAAAGATGATGGGGAACTGTACCCTGGAATGCAGTGACACTGAAAAAGATTTGGGGATCATGGTAGATAACCAACTGAATATGCTTCCACTATGATGCTATAGCTAAGACGACTTATGCAATCCTTGGATGCATAAAAAGAGGAATCCCAAGTAGGAGTGGGGAGGAGGGATTATCTCTGAATACTGCATTAGTAAGACTACTGGACTCAGTAAGTCCAGTTCTGGTGTTCACACACCAAAAAGAAGGTTGAAAAATTATAAAGGGTTCAGACAAGAGCTACAAGAACGTTTTGTGGTCTGGAAAACATGCCTTGTAATGAAAGACTTAAAAAGCTGTAACTATTTAATTTATCCAAACGAAGATTAAGGAATGACTTGATCATGATCAAGGACAGCTGATCAGAAATTTTCCAGCAAAACTACCAATTCGCTGAGGCACACTGATTCATCGAATCTATTACAGAGTCAACAAAACATTCCTTGAAATAGGGTACACAGACTACAGCAGAGAAAGCCAGGCAGCACTGGGAACCCCAACTGAATAGCAGTGGTGGAACTGACAAGAATGTCAATTTCACATATTTCCTTTTGGGAACACATGTTTCCCTCTTTCTGAAATGAAATTTTAGGGGGGAAATTTCCAGTTCGCTGAGAAATTTCAATAAATTTACTTTCATTTTGAGTAAGAACAAACAGATTGCAAAATACCGAAAATGTCCTGCGAACCAAAGCCCCTGAGTTGGCCAATTCTATCTGCAAGTGTCTACTGGGGGAAGAGATTCTGAAGGTAGCTGGCTCTTTAATCTAGCAGAAAAAGGCAGCATGAGATATAGTGGTTGGAAGCTGAAACTAGAAAAATTCAGACTCACAATCAGGTGCACATTTTTAAATGAAGGCAATTACTCATTAGAACAACTAATCTAGGGATGTAGTAGATTCTCCATCACTTGGAATCTTTAAATCAAGACTGAATATCTTTTTAAAAGAGATGCTCTGAAGGAGCCAGAATTTACCAATGTACATTGCCAAAGAGCCACAGTAATATGTCAGCAGCCCCCCATCAGTGTCTATCCCCCCCACCGCTCCCAGCGCCCCCCACCCACCGGCAGCCCCAACGATCAGTGCCTCCCTCTCCCTCCCCCACCTCCGGATCAGCTATTTCGTGCCATGCAAGAGGCTCTGGGGGGGGAGCGGGGAGGAGTGAGGTCACTGAGGGGAGAAAGGGGTAGAGTGGAGGCAGGGCCTGTGGCAGAGCCAGGCGTTGAGCAGTGAGCACCCCCTGGTACATTGGAAAGTTGGCGCCTGTAGCTCCAGCCCCGGAGTTGGTGCCTAGACAAGGAGCCGCATATTAACTTCTGAAGAGCCACAGGTTGGCCACCCCTGTTCTAGCAGCTCAACGAAGCTGTGGTTTTGATGCAGAAATTGCTAGGTTACTAGAAATTACTTCTGGCCTGTGTTACGCAGGATCACTATGATCCCTTCTGGTCTTGAAATCGATTCATCTATTAAATTAGAAAGTGTATGGCCCTTGTAGCCTCAAAATCTCTCACACAGTAAACTGTTACTAAATTTACTGTTCATAATATTTGGCTGCCCTAGGAATGTATCTGTTCTATTTACATGCCAGAGCAGATTTTATTTCACTGCTTCCGCCTCTCTCTCTCTCTGCCGCTGCCCCCACCCTTGCATTTCCCATAAGCCCGGTGCAATGGCTCTAGTAAGGGGAGCCAAAAGGCAAAGTTGCAGCCCAGTTCCTTTCTCTGGGGGACTGTGTCAGTGGTTCTGCTCCATTAGGGTTACCATACGTCCGGATTTTCCCGGACATGTCCGGCTTTTGGGGGTTCAAATCCCCGTCCGGGGGGAAATCCCCAAAAGCTGGGCATGTCCGGGAAAATCGGGAGGGAGGGATGGAGGGCTCGGCC